TTCGAAGAGTGGACACCAAAATTAGGGAGAAGATAAAACACCTAGATTCACTATACATGCATGATATAGAGTACGTGTTATTAAATTGCTCAACACAAAGATGAGCTATGAAATAAGCTTTCCAATAACTTATTGCATACCAGAAAAATATAAAAAAAACGATAGGAATATTAATGACGAGGTCTCTGGTTTACAAACCCTAGTAAATCAGGTGAGATCGGTCTAAAATATGCAACAGTACCTGGACATCAACGGGAGTGCGAGCATCAAGGCCATTTCGATAGAGATTGATAATATCTATCCGATTAGGAACACCCGTTTTTACGGAGCCTCCTCCACCCGCTACAACCAAAGAGTTTCGATCCAGAACGTCAACAACATATAATGGATAAGGAAATCCAAGGGCACTAAAACCAGTCCTTTTATTTTCCATCAAATTGTTGCGCAACTCAATGGTCTTAATTCGGGATCTTCCTTGAAAATATAGGCACAGTAAACCTTGAGATTTTGCAGTCGTGTCACCAAGCGCAAACTACGCGCGGTTTGTAGAACTGTACGTAGGAATGAATGTTATGCTGCACTCTTCAACCCTCAATTACTCCGAGAAGAAATACAGAAAAGTGTATAAGAAGCCTTTTTAAAAGAACAAATGTATATACTTAAACCTGGAAGGTAAGACATCGTTCCTTCACACTTCTCGAAACTACGATGAGTTCATTAGCAGTTTAGTCCGAGTCACAAACAGCGACAATTGACTCTTTAAATTATAGCTTTGATGTGTATTTAGCTGACAATTACCTCCAAAAATATGAGCACCTGCCAACTAAATATGCTCAAATAAGCTTCAGAACAATTTATTTTTGGGATCTACTTTCTAACTGTGGAGCTCTTAGTTGCGAAGTTCCATAAATCCCTTCTTGTTCCTTCTGAATATTCAGAATATTCGGTTTAAGGAACACATCTCATACGTGTGAGACATTTTTCAACGAGATGTGTTTTTTTCTATAGGGTACCTTGTAGTGGTTGGCGCCATGTCAAGCCCACATAGGTTATCCTAACTTCTGGACAGACCAATCTACTCATTCTTCTCCAGCCAAACTAATCGATCAGTTTTTCTTCAATCCGAAAGTTTATTCTGTTGTGCGGCCCCACTTAGACGAGCCAAAACCAGGGTTTCTAAGTTGTTAGGCCCCAAAGGTTGATCTTTTGACAGAGCAGTGTTTTTAAGCATTTCAACCAACCTGCTGACTGCGGTGAACAGATGGACAATAATCTTTAGTCACTTAAGGAGAGTTGATATTTTTCGCATTAACTTTTCAGAAGCTACTGATAGGGTCAACTACATATGTCTCATCAGGAGGTTTAAACCATTAGGTATCAAGAGACTGGCTTACTAGATAACTAAACGATCGAGATTTTAGAGTCAGGGTAATCGTAACATTTCTTTGGGCCACAGAATATCCTAGTAGGGGCCCTTAGGGCTTAGAACTAGGACTTATTCTCTTCTTGATTTATATAAGCGACCCTCCTCAGCAACTGTATTCTGACAGTAATTTTCACTGACAATGTGTAGCCTACAGCCAAAATGATAAGATGGAACTTCAGGAGGATCTGAGTTGACTTCAAGGTTGAGAAGATAACAACGGACAGAGACATGTTGCAGACTACAACCACAACTTTGATAGCTACCTTTCAGATGCATCCCAAGTTAGAAAGGATCTATTGGTGCTAGTACCCTACTGTCTGAGGTCTTACATCTACTTCAACAAAAATGCCTACCGAGCAAATCTTGGACTGGTAAAGTTGAAGTACATTTTCGGCAGGTTCGATGGAAGAATTTCCTACATAACTTCCAACAGTTTTATTTGTCCCCATCTAGAGAACGGAAAGATAGTGTTTCCTCCCTCACTCCAAAGAATAAGAACACGCTGGAACGTATTCAACGAGCCACGAAACCAGTTCATGGTATCAAATTCAAGTCTTATTAAGAGCACCTTCAATCACTGAACCTTTACGCATTAGAGGAAGGGCGTATTAGGGCTGACCTTTTGATGACGTAGAAAATCCTAAATACTTCTGAACATCCTCTTAAATACCTGCTTAAGCTTAGTCCCAACACAGCATACCCCAACCGACTTTAGGCACGCAATTTACTACTCTTGGGCAATCAAAATCCGGAGTTCGCTAACGGCTGGAGTGGTCCAAGTAACTTCTCAGGAGTTCTTCAAGAAAAAACATATCATATGCTTATGGACTCATGTCAGTATCTCGTTCTAAATCGCGAGCAATTTTTCTCTTTTACCGTCAAAAATACCTAGATCCCAGACTGGGGATATCGGTGATTCACTACTACTGGCTACGGGAGCCCGCCAAGCGAAAGCTTCTTCTATTCCGTTCATAAACATTAGAGCCATATGAATTCCGTTAAGATAAGGACGAAAGAAAGTGAAGTTTTCAGCTTCCCGTCCTATACTTTAAAAGACAGTGGGACAGGATGCCACTATGGTGCCCTATCTAAACTTAAATCATACGACCCACTTCATTATGTGCAACGATGTCTCACAAGCCGGAGACAGTTTTTCGAAAGAAATTCAAAAACGTTACCAAACATTTAGTGCTTTTTTTCAACCGATTATTGCCCGACAAACACGCAGCCTAGCCTAAGGGGTTGGATTACTGTCGATGTATTTAGTTGCCAAACATTTCAGACCCTCATTACAAGGACGTGAGTTTACCATAATTAGCGGTTATCAACCCTCACGTTATTTCTTCAACATATCGTACGATCGGCATTCGCCTCGAAAAGCTAGACAACTAAACGACAGCTTCCATTTCTAAACCGACTCCCGGTTCATCAGGGGACACACTAGTATCATAGCAGATACCTTATCATGAAGAGAAACCAACACTCTAATATGACAAAAGGATATTAATCTTGAAAACATGGCTAATTAACAAGCATACGACACATACTGGATAGAATCTTATCTGATATTCAAACATCTGTCATCTGCGATGTCTCTGGTGGTAATAATCATCCTTTTATTCCAAAAATGTTTCAACACCTTCATGAGTTAACGAATCCCGGTATCCAAACAACTACAATTTTCATCACAGAATGTTTTGTTTACCCACGAATTAATGCTGATGTGAGAAAGTGGCGACCTAAGTATAATTTCAGCCTAGAAAGGTCTGACGTCAACCAAAAAGCCAACTAAGAGAATTTTCGATACCTTATAGGCATTTAATACATAAACATTTTGACGTCTTCGGTCCCATTTCGACACTTAACTCTTATGCACGCACGTTTGCTGAAGATGAAAGATTGGGTGTGGCGTACCCAATAAGGAACATATCATCAGATTCAGCAGCCTCAATGTGTCTTGAAAGCTGTACATCAGACTACGGAGTACTGCCACCCAGTTAAAGTTAAGGATAGAGATCTAGCATTTGAACTAACCTCCAGAGTTATTACTAATTCCAATCTTCGTTCGTTTGGAGTTGACTGTACTACACAAATATCACCGCCCATTATGTCAACTATTAAATGTTCAGTACAGTATAATAACCCATTCAGTTACAAAAATTGGTGTTTTGCTAATGCAAGAACATTATTCTGTTTCTTCTGGGAATATCGTATTTTCAAAAAGTACTACTTAACTTCGTTATAGCAGCGTGTTTCCAGTTATGAAAGTGTGCCTCAATTCACAATCAAAACGCAATTTCAATCTGTTCAAGTGAAACAATCTGAGAGGGAACAAATCGATATGGCAGCATTTATAATCAGGACAAAGTAAAACAACGTAGAAATAGATAACGAGGATCTTAAAAAGTCAGTAGAAACGACTAAAAAACAAAGGCTACAATAAGAAATAAAATATAACCGTCTTATCTGGAATTAAAGGATCAAAGGAATGCATCTATGGAATCAAGAAGAGTAACTTCATCACAATTGATTGATCACTGGGTGGCGATCAATGTCATGCGTGTCTATTCCTTATTAGTGCAGATCGAATGCTATTGATCATGTTGCAATGTGGCCACCAATTTAGGTGACTCGACACTGCGGGCACTATATATTGAGATTAGATGGTGGTTGGAGGTAGTCGACAGGAAACCCTGAATGGCTCAGTGGTAACGTCTGACTGTGAAGCTGGGTGACACGAGATCGAACCCGCTAGGGAGCACCAGTTCCCTCAAGATTACAGGTACATCTTGCTGACGAGTCCAAGTAGCACGAAACCCGGGTCCAGGGTTTCCTGTCGACTACCTCCAACCACCATCTAAGAGTAACTTCATTTCAGAAAGCAAAACAACAAGTTACATCTAGGAGTTTGTACGTGAAGGGATTCTCTCAAACATTCATACGAAAAGTCCTAAAAGGCTCTTAAAGTTACATCGATACCAGTCTTGTAAGATACGCAATGAACTGGGATTATCATATCATACTCGATGTTAGATGCGTGCAGCACAAATGCTACAGTTTGTCAGCTGACGCGGATTTTAAGTGATATTATGCATTTCTATCGCATCTCCCCTAATCCACTCATAATATGTAAAGACGAGCTGAGTAGAGTTTATCTTAGAGGAAGAGTATCATTCCTGCCGCTCTTCGTTAGACATTATCTAAGAGAGCGATATCTCTCCTAAGGTAAGCGGACATCACTCAGAGGTTTTCAGATGAGGAATTAGTCAAACACTGCAAATGGTTCTCCTGTCCGACTGTTTTACACGGAAACCAGATAGCAGGCATTAGTTTCACAAAGCTACTAGGAAATAAAAGTGGTGCAGTCACATGGTAGCTCGTGATCAATAATTGGCTCATACGTCATTTGTTTCCTTAGGATCTTGGAGCCCATGTACACCACTGGTTTGGAATTAGGGTTTTCCAACTTTTCTAGGTGGATTCTCCGTATCCACTAACTCGGTTAAAGCACCGGACGTTTGCTTTTCGTCCTCTCAATTTTGGAAACAACTGTAATGCCGCGAGAAGTTAGTGAGTAGGACTGATAAACAAGCAAAAGACCCTCAAAGTGAGTTTACCTAACATAATATAATCATTTCGTACAAAGGTTTACAAAACATTTTTTTTAATGATGATTTTCATAAACAGAAAGTTATAATACATAAAATTTATATACAATTAATATATTGAAACATTATGTACACATTGTAGGAATATACAAATAATAATCATCAATAATAATTAAGAATTTATTGGAATCATACGATATTTATATTGTTTAGTACAATCAAATCCTATTGAATATAATTGATTACATTGAAACAAATTCTCAAATACATGATAACCATATTTACCTTGTGTACGATTCATTAAATGTTTTAATAAGTTCAAATCTTCTATAAAATCCATTTCTAATGGTAGAGATAAATTTTTATCATGTTTTTTATATTGTATTAATAGATCATTGATACATTGAATAAATTCATGATAAAATTCAATAGGTATATTATGTAAATGTTTCATAAGTAATGAATTTTCCGCTGTGATTGGTCCATGTCTAACTCGTCTAACTTTTGATAATAAAGTAGCTGTACGTAATTTTGGACCAAGATTAGCAACTAAATCAGTGAAAAACTTCAATGTTTCATGTGTAACTTGAATTTCTATTATTTTGTTGTTGTTTTTATGTATAAAAAAAGAACATGAAGGAATTGTGTAAATAAAATACTAATCTAAGTAATGCATTATTGCTATGCAGTTTAAGAAGAAAAAAGACCAAGTTAGTCTGTGTCCGCCTACCACCAAATCAAACGAATTCTATGAGCTTACAGAAAGTTTTTTTCTTCAGTTAAGAATGTCAACTATTACCAAAATCAGTAAGTCCTTTTGTAAGTAGTAAGTTTATCAACAACATTTTGAACGTTTCATTACATACAACAAAACTGCTATGTTGAAATACGTATTCGACAAAGTTAAACCTATGGAACTGTTCTATATGAAGTTAACGTTCATATTTTTGTTATGCAAACATTAAATACTAAAACTATTGTATTTTTGATGTTATAGTTGTGTCTTTATGGGCCCCTAGAAATGACGTAAAATCTTAGCACTGTGCCAAACCAATGATCTTCGACCGGTATGAGCAGTCTAGCGTCCTTATTGGTCTTCTGTTCGCCTAACTCGTCCACTTGAGTCCAGAACACCAATACCAGCTTTCACTATGCAAATCATATATTTTAAATATACTGGGTTTATATTAATGGACTAATATTATTTAAATATTCTTATGGTATAAATATTCAGCAACTACATTATGTATATCTATATTCCCCCTGCCATAAGCTTTATTTTGATTTATATTTTATTATTGTACGATTTACTGTTCTTAAGCTATGTTCAGTTTACTGACTACTGCCTTCCACGTTCACAGCCACTTTTTGGCTTTATTGTGTATGAATGTTATTTCCTATTTCAAAATGTGTTGCGGTTGTTTGGTTGATATATAAACCCAGTATGTCTGAAATAAATGATTCGATTCGCATATTGGAAGCTGGTATGGTGTTCTGGACTCAAGTGGACGGGTTAGACGAACATAGGACCAATAAGGACGCTAGGCTGCTCATAGCGGTCGAAGATCATTGGTTTGGCACAGTGCTAAGATGTTATAAGTCATATTTTGAAAGGTGGATAAATCACGTGATGACTAGCCGGACATAAAGTCACAACACTTTGGATCAATGGGCCTCAACACACATAAGGGGAAAACCAAGATCCTGAAATATAATAAGAAGAATAGCGACCCAATCACACCTAATCAGGAAACTCTGCAGGATGTTGAAATTTTCACGCACCTGGACAGTATCATCGATGAACAATGAAGATCCGATGCAGACGTAAAGGCGAGGATTGGCAATATAAGGGCAGCATTCCTACAGTTGAAAAACATACGGAACTAGGAATAACCATCAACCAATATCAAAGTCCCATTGTTCAATGCGAACATTAGGACGATTCTACTGTAGGGAGTTGAAAATTGGAGAACTACTACAACCATCATAAAGAGGCACAGGCATTTATAAACAATTGTCTTCACAAGATACTCAATGTCGATTGTTGACCGGACACCATCAGCAGTAGCCAACTGTGTAAGAGAATATACCAACTCCCAGCTGAAGAGGAAATTTGGGAAAGATAGTAGATGTGGATAGAACATGCATTGTGGAAATCACAAAACTGCATCAAGAGACGAGCCCTAACTTGGAATCCTGAAAGGAAACTGAAAAGAGGAATGGTAAAGAACACACTGAGTCAAGAGTCGGAAGCAGACATCAAAAGGATAAATAGTAACTGGAAAGAATTGTCTAAAACAGAATTTGATGGAGAATGCTGATCAGTGGCCTATGCTCCTTCATGAGGGGTGACAGGCGTAGGTAAGTGAACTGGATACATATGAAATATGAAGTAATTCACAGGAATCATATATATTTTAATAGTATGACAGGGATATTGAGAACAAGAGTGAAAGAATGAGCAGAAACGTTTAGGCACTGAACTGGTGGGTACAGACATTTACATAGTATATTCGAATAACTGATTTGAAGCCTAATAATGAAAACAAAATCTAAGATTTTGAAGAAATAGAACATATCTGAGCTAATAGTAATCATAATCAAAAGTGAAAAACCAACTCCTGACATTCCACTGTACCTACCAAATGTTCATAACCAATGAAAATATACGAAAAAAATTGATTCATTTTAATAACTAAGGAGAATAACATTTTACAAAAACCATAGAATAAATATCTTAGCATTTTGCAAAACCCAAAAACTTCTGCGGATTAAATAAAAACCAACATACCAATTGTAAAAAACGGAGGATCAAAATCCACACAACACATCGCATTTACATAAGGTGCCATTTGTCTTCTTTCTTCTTCCCACTCATACTTACGACTAGGTAGTGTTTCGGGATTTCGATTTTCATCTGGCATTGGACGTTCCCATGGTGAAAGTAACTGTTCCTCTCCTTCATAATCTTCTACGCCGTGTGTGGGTTTTACCGGACGAAGATCACTGCCAGCTCTACGACCACACAGTGCTAGATATGCATTTTGTGAATTAGGACGAAGTCCTGCTTGTAATAATCCAGAAGCATTGAATTGAGCTTGTAGTCCAACAAGAACCTGATCTATTTTGCATTTTTGAACATGTCCTGATACAAAAGAAAAACCATTAAATGGTTGAAATCATACACATTCACATTTACGGAACGGGCACTAACAAACTAATATTTAGTTGATTAAGTTGTGAATAAGGTGGGCATATTGCATTTAGATTAATGACTTGAAACTCCATAGTTCATATTTATAACTGCGATTAACTCTAGTGGCTTTAAGTGTTATAACTGAGCAGAAACTAATACAGCGTAACGTAAGGCAGAAGACTAAGACAACAGAAAATTTATGCACTAAAAATATATCTGAATTCACATTTTGCTGATATTAGTCAACATAGAAATTTGAATTAATTGAACTGGACAGTCCTAGACGTTTAGATCAATAACAATGTATGAACACAATTTTCAATACCACAGGATTGAAATGTTAGAACTAACAAGTGTAACTAATTTACTGGGTTATGTGATTACTCCTTCCTCACACAACTTACCAGCTGATTTTAATCCGTAATGAGAACCAATTTTATAACAGAAACTAATGGTCAATAAATGTAGGTTACATAAAATGACTAAATATTACCAATTTTGTAATATAACAGTCACCTTTTTTTCTTTTCATAGGCTGAGAACACGTTTCCCGTTTGAAAACAGGAAAACAATATACACCATGGCATGTACGAATAATAGTTGTGAAGTTCTCAAAAGTATAGCGGTTAATTGATATATTGGGAATGAATTCGATTGATTATGTGCTGGACTATCCGATAATAGACACTCGATACACAGATCGGCATAAATTAACTCTAGACTGGTCACTCGATGAGTTGATCGATAGAAAGATCACAATACTTAATCATGTGATGCACTCTACTCAATTATCTGACAACCGATTGAAAACCAGATAAAACCACACGATAGTTTACAGACACAAAGTTACGGGCAGTCAGTAAGCGGAACACAAGTGAAATCAGTCTTACATAAACTCATGGCTAATATAGCTAGATATATCAGTCTTCGTTCACTAGGTAGTCATGGCTTACTTTAACCTACGCATCATCAACGCATGCGCTATGTATTACGTTTTAAAATGAGTGTTCGCATGATATTATTTAAATTTCGGTTGGATTACTCACAAACTGTTATATATCACCTAGACCGAGTTAATCCTTCTAGGCCATGTAGATAAGAAAACCTTCTGGTTAGTCATACAATGTATACAAAGATCTCAGTCAGTCAGCTACAACGTAGGACCAGGCACATATATGCATCGGTTCAAGTTGCCAGAGATCTAGTCTTGCATGTACGTGAATAGATTTTCGGCTTTATGTACTTTTCACCCGAAGTTCGATAACAATGATACTAGATCACCTTTTTACATACTTTTGAGCTATACTGAAAGAGATTTTGCCGAAAAGGCAGATTTCGCAATCATATTAGTCTAGCTTAATAATAAATGGTAACTGTGTCGAACTGACCCATTAACTCAACAATACACAAACACTATGTAATTTAAAGTGAGTGACCACATTAATCAAATAATTAAGAAGTGAGACCGCAGGAACAAAGTGTTCAGGATTCAGCGAAACATAAAAACAAAAGTATTTATGCTATTGCGACCTGTCTGAAATAGTCTAACAAAGGTCTATTTTTCAATGGCCAACTCCAGGAAAAACAACCACAGATAGATGAGATTCCAAACAAAATTAAGAATTTATTCTCGAATATCATTTAGGAGTTATCACTCACTCCATGAAGCTCTTAATAATGTTGTACTATTGGCTGTTCCATCAGTTGATGCACGTCCCATCATGCATGTTAAGTGATAGGTTTTAAGCCAAGAAGATTGTTCGAACTTATCAGCATAATTGTAAATACCATCTTCTCCAATACCATAGACTATTAAATAAACAAACATAAATAAACACAAAACTCACCTTGCACACCAGACATAAAATCACTAAGGGGATCAATGGGATATAACATAATATCTCCTGGAAGAAAACGTTTACCCAATACTTGAATTAGATAAATAAATAAATGAAATACATTACTCAAGTACCAAGATCACTATCAACAATATCAGGTTCTGTAATTATTTTTGGTAGAGTACAGTTGACATCACCGGATGTCTGAATGATCGTTCTGATAGACTGTTTCTCAGCTGGAAGTGAATTAAAAGCTATTAGGAAAAAAACATGTGATTTTATATAAAGTGACAAACCATCTGCCAAAGAGCATTTCACATTTCTGGTTAATTTTTCAACATTCAACCCAGGTGATTTATAAACGCATAATATTCCGTTCAGTAGATTGAACAGTTGAATACGTCCTGGATTGTACATAACCTTATTCATCTAGAACGAGTGGTTTTTAAATTAAAAGTTAAAACGGTCAAGAAATAATCACTTTAAGCGTAAACTATACTTAATAACCTCACACAACGAAAAGAAATGCAAGACAAAAGCTTAAGTAGCAGTGTTATAAGTTGTTTAAGGTATCCATACTTTTGTTGCTCGAGAGATATGATGAAAATATCTGGTACCTTGGATTTTTTTATCAGAACACAATACTAAAATAGAAACACTATTGATCCGCAAAACTAAAGAAACTATGACTGACTCACTTGAGATGACAGAAAGAGAAATACACTCTCACACGTAGAAGTATGGATGATGACCAGAACGAAAATGAAGACTTAGTAACAGTCACCAAGCTCAGAGACCATAACACAATCAAAAGCATCCATCCGAACTACAAACCTTTCTCATCATTGCAGTGTCCAATCATGTTAGTTTAATCTTTCTGTAGATTTCCCATTATGTTGATGTCATGGGTGAAGTCTGATCCAATGTTAATACGTACTAAGTATTATGTCATCTATTTTTGCATAATACTGTATCTGTGGGTTCTTCAACTTAATATGAAGCTGAGTATAAATAATATCAAGTGTATATCGAGCTACTAGTAAACAATGAATAGTTGAGTGGTCTTTCAGCTCACTTAACCAACTAGGTGTGCAAAATTACCACCCCGGTATCTTATATTTCCCCGACCCACAAATAACTACACAGATGATTTGCGAGCTATACGACCAATGGGGGACCTTCAGAATACACTACAATGCCCTTGACAAACTAGTCATTGACAAGTATAAAAATTTAGCAATAAATTAGTGTGGGGAGTCAGAATCAGAAGTTAGAAGCAGAATTTAGGAATAAGGGGAAACTAGTTCTTCATCACTGATAAAGCGAGCCCACAGCTCAGAGAGCTCATAGAATGCCCTTAGTACGTGGTGAAAATAATCTGATTATTAGGACTAGAAGTTGACAAAATGAAACCCCGAACGCCTGACACTGTAGTGGTTCAGGTTTAACCAGAAGGTACATTGTGCACTCCCAAGCTCCCAACTTTGGGGATTTCCCCAGGTCTGGGGAAATTCTGTGGTTTTTGTGCCATTTCCCCAAAATTTACTATAGCGGCTTCTCCAAAATTTCCCCAAAATGTGCCAAATTTTCTACAAAATTGGCAGCTTGGGATAGAATGAAGAGATGTGGAAAAGAGGAAAAAGTGGGCCGACTACTCATTAAGCGTTAACAACACACTTACATTGACAAAGGAAAGTAATAGACAGCAATAACACAAGCCTTAAATTAAGAAAAACTTGGGATCGTAACTCCAAGTAGGTAACCAACCCTGTTACAAGAAACGGCAACGCTTCAAGGGTATCGTCCACTGATGGAGGTTGCTGAGCACTTGAAGGTCAAGGTGTTGTAAAACGATTGGTGCGTCACTTCGACAGTTTGTGAAGTTTTTGCAGGAGCGGCCAAATCAATACATTTTTAAATTTGGATTGAGTTCAGCCACAATGTGTCTGATGACGTCCATCCTTCAAATAACGAAAACGATGTCATCGTGATGATGCATGATATCAGTTTCCCCTCGTTGAGTGGAATTCATTACCTTGTAGTGACCTACTTTTACCAAAAGAACGCGATTGATTTAATGGAAACAATCATTATTATAACCAATTGTACCAGTGATTATTTTACCGCGCTCGTTGGTTTAACTGTGCTAAAGACAGCTATATTACTACTCAATTACTCTCCATTACTTTTTCCGCGGATTGTAACCTCGTACGTTCGTACTCTTGCCCGCTGATTCCAAATGTACTGCTTTTGGTACGATCTCGGTATCCGTTCGATACCGCGAGATCGCCAACTAAGTAAATCTGGTTACGCTCCATCTTCGCCTTCTGGTTCCTCTGGTATGCGTTTCCTTATAGTGGTGTTCATAGTCAATCGCGACTCGACCTCACGCTACAAACTCAGCACGTGGCTGAGGCTCCATCCGTCGACTCTTTCAGGAGAAAGTTGGATCAACTGAGAGACTACTATTGCCAGGACTAACACAGGCCATCAAGCCTTTTGTCCTTTCCAAACTGAAACTGAATGATTCGACGGGAAAGTCGATAGTCAGCTGACAAGTAATTTGTCTTGGGCTTGTGAACTTTCTGGAGTGTCCTCGTAAATTCTCTGTTTTGGAAGACAAGAAAAATGAGGGTATATCAGGTGCAAATTTATCACTAAGCAATTTTAAAACTATAATCAAGTCACCTCTAGTTCTACGATAAGACAACGGGAAAAGGTTCAGCTTGGCCAGTCGAGATTCATACGAAAGCTTCGCTATTCCGGGAATCAGCTTAGTCGCCGTTCTCTGAACCTTTTCCAGAAGCTCACTGTCTTTTTTAAGCAGGGGCTAGCCGCTTGTATGCAGTACTCAAGTTTGGGACGTACGAACACTGTATACAAAGTCAAAAACGTTTTGGCGTCGACGTGACTAAAAGCCCTACGTATTGACCATAACGTTCTAAAACCTTTGGCGGCTATTGCACGGCAGTGTGCAGTAGTCTTTAAGTCTTGACTAACGATAACTCCTAAGTCATTATATGTCCGGACGACAGGTAGCTCAGTGTTATTCATCGTGTATGTATCTGTGCCTTGATGACCGATATGCATCACAACACACTTGGAAATATTTATCGGCAACTGCCATGTTTGAGACCATTCAGAAAACTTCTTCAGGTCATTTTGAAGTTCTAAGCTATCACTCTTACATCGTATCGTTCTCCATATCTTGACATCGTCAGCATATAGCAAGACCGAAGATGATAGGAGACAAGAAAGGTCATTTACACACAAGAGGAATAGCACTGGCCCCAAAACTGTACCCTGGGGCACTCCACTAAGCACAGTTTCCCAGCTAGGTAACTTTGAGTTCACCCGTACTCTTTGTTGACGCCCGACTAAGAAGTCTTTTATCCACATCAATAAATTGCCTCCAATCCCGAACTTTGTCAAAAGCTTTACTGAAATCAATGAAGGCGACGTCTGCAGGTAGCTTTTGGTCCTTAAGAGCGCACCAGCTTTCACGAGCCACTAATAAGTTAGTGAGACAAGAACAACCTATTCTGAAACCGTGCTGCTTCTTCGAGAGGATCCGGTTTTTATCGAGATACTTAAACAGCTCCTTCCGAATAATCTTTTCTAAGATTTTAACAACCACACTAGTTAGGCTAACGGAGCGGTAGTTCTCAGGTTTGTGTTTCGTACCTGTTTTGAAGGCAGGACTTACTATGTCGTTTTTCCAGTCTTTGGGTAAACGACCCTGGATTATGAACAGATTAAAGCATATACTTAAAGGGTTCGCAACGAAGTTAGATAATTCCTTCAGTAGCCTAGGATGTAATTCATCGGGCCCCGTGGATTTACCTATGTCAAGCTTATTTAGTAGACCGAAGACATCGAGTTCTTTAATGGTCACGCTATCCAGTGTATATATGGGGGATCTGTATGCGCTGGCGGGAAGGGCGCTTCTATGGTATATACGTTGCTAAAGTAGTTCGAGAACACTTGAGCCTTACCAAAGTCGTCTTCCACTAATGATGAAGCAGTACTGTCTCCCCATAGAGCAGGAATATTTCCTTTTCTCCTTGTCCTTTGGTTTATATAGGAATACAAGCGTTTAGGACATCCTATGGATTCCTTAACAATTTTCTCCTCGTACAACTTTCTCGACTTACGGAGGGCCGAGCTTTTCGATACTGAGGCTTTGTATCACCAATCCCCAGTAACCTAAATCTATCCCACATTTTCCTTCTCTTACGTAGAAGTATGCGGACCTCCGTACTGAACCATGGTGGAGAGTTTCTTGGCCCTCTTTGTATAGTCCAAGGGATGTGAAGTGTGGTAACTTTTAAGTATAAATTTCGAAATGCGTCTCAAGCCGTTTCAATTGAGGACTCTGCGTCTATTGTCCAATCTACTAACGATGTTGAATGCATGATATCTGGTATGTTTGCTTTCCAGACGTTAGGTCTGGATTGGACTGACGCGTGCTCGTGACTGACAGTTATATGGAAGTCGAAAGTTAAAACTGCGTGATCACCTTTACCTAGGGGTGGCATATAATGGAGGTTCGCAACGTCATCCTCATAGTGAGTCAGTATAAGATCTAATAAGGATGATTCAGAGTCCGAGTCGTACCTAGTCGCTTCTTTCACATGTTGTACTAGAGCACATGTGATAACCCCATCAACTAGTTCCTGCTCGAAAGAATTTTCTGACGATTCAGTCCGCAGATTCTCCCAGTCTACCATAAGTGCATTAAAGTCCCCTAGGATTAGACACCGACCACTTTGGGACCAAGTATTGAGACTGCTTAGCAGGACTTCATTTACCTCACAGCTTGGATTGCGATAGACCAAAATAATCAGCAACTCTTGTCCCTTGCATTTCAAGCGGCAACTAACTAATTCACACGTCCCACTCTCATGGGACACACTGTCGATAATGGCAAATGGAATAGCATTCCTAATGAATAGAGCTACCCCACATCATTTACGCTTTTGTATTCTATCGGCCCTTACTAACGTAAAACCCTCGAAATCAAGTTCCTTACTATCTATAAACTGTGTCAGTCCAGTTTCTGTGACTAAGATTATGTCTGGCTTTGTAGAGTCAATTTGTACACCTAGTTCCGATCGCTTATTGAATAAGCTTCGGGCATTAATGCAACAGATATGAAGCCTATTTAAGTGACTTCGTGCTTCACTCAGAGTGGTTTAGGCATCATTGCCTGTCGAAGACTTACAACCCGAAAATTTACAATTTTCAGGTCCTTTTCGCTAGCGTCTAACCTAAGTTGTAGTTCTTTTTCGGCTTCCCATCTTTTTACGCGGTCTGCTAACGGTAAGTAATTACGGATAAAGACTCCTGAACCCTTTAATTTATGTCCATTCTGTAAAATTAACTCCGCCTGGAGTCCCTCCGGGAGGCCACTGCCGGTCCCAAGCCCGGATAAAGGAGGGGGGCTGGGCATGGGGTTTGCGTCCCGATCCCGTAGAAAACTAACTCGCTAAAAAAACGCTAACCAAAAAAATTATTCAAATCTTTTAAACTCTGCCCTGGGAGTAAGAAGGTCTTCATTTAGAAAAACTATGACGCCTCATGATGAAAGCCGAATTCCTTCGGAAGTTGCGAGGCCGATGCCCCTTCTGACAACCAGAGCGACCATTTATTTAGGTACATGGAATGTTCGTAGAATGTGGGACACCGGCAGAGCCTTCCAAATTACTGCAGGAATGAGGAGATACAACCTAGAGGTGCTTGGGATCAGTGAAACACATTGGACACAAGTTGGACAACAACGACTAACTTAAGGGGAGCTTCTGTTATACTCCGGCCATAGTGAAGAAAATGCACCACATACACAAGGAGTTGCATTGATGCTGTCCAAACAAGCACAAAAGGCACTTATAAGATGGGAATCTCATGGACCAAGGATCATCAAAGCCTCCTTCAAAACAAAGAAAGAGGGCATTTCAATGAACATCATCCAATGCTATGCGCCTACCAACGACTACAATGAAGACGCTAAAGATCAATTCTACAATAGGCTGCAGTCAGTCATCGAGAAGTGCCCAAGAAAGGACCTCACCATTCTGATGGGAGATTTCAATGCCAAGGTTGGAACGGACAACACTGGATATGAAGACATCATGGGACGACACGAACTGGGAGAAAGGAAGGAAAATGGTGAGAGGTTTGTAAACCTATGTGCCTTCAATAAACTGGTCATAGGCGGCACCATATTCCCACATAAACGCATTCACAAAACCACATGGACTTCACCGGATCACACCACGCAAAACCAAATCGACTATATTTGCATCAACAAAACGTTCAGGAGGACTATAGAGGACGTGAGAACCAAGAGAGGAGCTGATATAGCATTAGACCATCACCTGCTGGTCGCCAAGATGAAATTGAAACTCAAGAAGCACTGGACAACAGGGCGGACAACATCACAAAAGTTCAATACGGCCCTCCTTCAGGATACTGACAAACTCAACAAATTCAAGATATTCGTCAGCAATAAGTTCCAAGCCTTGCATGATCTACTCAATGAAGAAGGAACTACTGTGTAGAGCAACTAAAAGGGCATCAAATAGGCAATCACTTCAACATGTCACGAGGTCCTGGGTCACATGAAACACTAACACAAGGAATGGATCACTGTCGATACACTGGGTAAGATTCAAGAAAGAAGGAACAAGAAGGCAGCAATCAATACCAGCCGAACATGAGCGGAGAAAGACAAGGCACAAGCTGAAAACGCAGAAGTAAACAAACAAGTGAAGAGAAGCATCAGAACTGACAACCGAAAATATGTGGAAGATTTAGCAACGACGGCGGAAAAGGCTGCACGAGAAGGAAACATGAGACAACTGTA